TTTAGGATTTTCAAACAACCTGGTCTCTTTTAAAATACTTTTAATTTGTTCTTACGTGGTTTTCCAGATGTAGTGACGACAACATTAAAGTTTAAAGAAGAAAATTCTAACATTTAAACCGACTAAACAATAACATATTAAACTTGCATAATTAAACAGCAACTAAAAATGATAGGTTTTACTAAATCTTTTTCTGTGCAATTATTACTAGCATTGGAGACAAGGATAATAGTTTGTTTGAAAGAGAAAAGAACAGGCTTTGAAGTAAGCCTAAAAGCATTTAACTAGAGATAGTATTTGGAAAGTTATTAAGCACAAAAGATGAATTGCGTTTATTTTGATACACCCTGTATAATGGGAATTGTCTTTATTGTGTAAACACAAGCAGGATTGCAGGAAGTGGCCTTCTGTTCTTATTCCCCAAAATCTGAAATACCCAACGCGAACATCGTTGGTAAGCTACTAGTCTATAAATTTTGTGTATCTTGTCCAAATCTTTGTCATCCAGAGGCCAGTTTAAATCTTCAAGATAGCGACAAACGTATATTTAATAGCCCATCCGACAGCATGTTCGCTTTGAATTCTGCATGTGTTGACAGTATTGTAAAGGCAGTCAAGTACTTCTCCCCTTGTGTTTTAGCCTCCTTCAATCATGCATCTTATTCATCGTATTCTAACGCTTTATCGTGGCAACAAAACAATTCAATATCCTTTGGTTTCAATGCGAAATGCGCCAAGCATTTTCGACCTCAAACACATGGTGATTTCCTCGTCAGACGTTCACTCTGTTCTTTGGAGTTGCTCTCGTCACCGCTATCCTTGTTTGTAAGCCCAGTTTTAGTTCAAATTGATAAGGTAATACCTTATGTACTTGATATCGTGGATATTTTCCATCCGAGTAATCAAAAAGCGCCAAATTTCTCACTAGAAGTACGAAGTCGCAATATGCGCCTAATAAAATATATTTGTTGTTTTGATTCTACCCTGCTCTTGACGTCATACAGGTCATGTGACCCAAAAGATAATTTTTTTGAAAATCGATCCAAGATGGCGGACGTACTGAATATTTACGGTGAAATAACTCGAGAACAAAACATTTTTGATGAAAACTAATAGCATATTCGTAATCAGGGGGTCCAGTTTTACCAATATCAGGAATAAAAAAATTTATTGCCATTGTCCTTTAAGTAGTGATTTATTCGCGTGAGATGTCATTTCAACTCCTCAATTTCGGACTGGGTTCGATTTCAATTATTCACATTTTGATCCAGTTCTGGGTTTCGAATCGGACTTGACCAAATTGCGCGGACTTGAAATCTAGTCCAATCTTCATAGTCCGGTTTTAAATATTACTTAATAACGCCATAACAAAAGAACTTCACATGTGTAGCTGATCAATTTAGTGTACAGTCTTTTCTTCATAAACTATCAAACCACGCATATTCACGATATTTGCTAATGGCTTTTATGATTTAAAAAGAAATCAAATTTCCACGGTTTTCCACTCATTTGCATACATATGTTGTTTTTTTCCAATGCAATATACCTAGGGATACTACATATTGGATTTTAATAATTAAACCTAATGTTATTTAATATTCGTTTGCCAATTATGGAAATCCACATGTCAAGTAAACGTTACCACTCGCAACTTTATAGACATAAATTAAAGAAAGAAGGTCAAATTTGGACATCGTTGCTCGCAAATTAATGCTTTCTATTATATCTGCAACATTTCAATTGGTTCATGAGCGGTCTGTAATATGAACAACGGACCGCCTAGTGATCTCATAGTATGGACTGCTGACATAGATCGCTCACGAATAAAAATTATAAAATGACTCTTTTCCAAGTAAAAAGAATACATATACAGTATTTGCTGGCTGCGACGTCCGGATGAGGAAAACTGTGCCCAAGGTCTTGAAACGTTAACGGCCCGAGCCCGAACGGCGAGGGAGATTTCAAGACCGAGGGTACAGTTTTTCTCATTGGGCCTGAATTTAAGCTGCCGGTAAATAACGTGTTTATTTTTTAGCAGATTTAATTCATTAAAATTCCATTGTTAATTTAATTCATTATAATTCCAGTGTTGCCGCATGTAAGTGCGGCTGTGTATCAAAGCGAGACTTACAAAAATTGAAAAGTTGAACTTGAAAGATAAACACGAATATACAAAAATTCGACAAAACTGCCAAGAAACACACAAAAGGACATATAGTTTACAAGTAAAAATATACATGCTTTTTCATGAATATGGAACTGGTAGCAGAAAAACATTGGAATAAAGAGTTTATGGCTGGCGTTTTGGCTTCGACAAATTCAGTGACTTCCGACAGTGACAGGTTCATATTCATTTGCTCTGCCGATCAAAAACACATATAAATGAATCTGTTTTGATTTAATAAACGCTTTTCTACAAAAGGGACAATGAAGAAGCTACGCTACCTTTTTTTTATTTTACTGGTCGTTTCACTGATAATATGCTTGGAAAATACGTTTTTAAGGTGGCTCGATATAGTTATCACAAAAATCCTGCTCAAGAATCGCGAACTTAAAACCGGGTGACCATTTTTACGCGCAGGTCGCGGAAACTGTTTAACAAAATGAAAGAACTTCCAAAATGACCTGACGCGAGCAGTTGCTCGCCCCATCTCACATCATTAGCGACCTTAAGCTAGCGCTGTTTTACGACGGGGACGCTCGGCCGGAAGTGGGAAGAGTCTGGACACTAGGTTTTGCTTGTATTTCTCCCGTCGCCGTCGCAGTTTACAACGGGAGTTGATACTTTTTCTCCTCGTAGTAGATTTGCCAAAGTGAAGGAAGTTTTTTCCACAAAATAGTGCTTTTAACTCATGTAAGTTCCACAAACAGAATATATTTTGTTGGAAAATCTTTTTTTTTTGTTAAAGTGTAAACATGTTTTGTATTGTTTAGTACTAATTTCAATTTAATTATAATCTGAACAAGGTCAAAAGGTCAAGACATGCAAGCCGTCACGGGATCAACACAAACCGCGCAGGCCAAGTGGGTACAACTGATTGTTTACAACCTACTTTATATGCAAAAGCTAATAGTAATGGCTGCTTATAATGTTGTGACAAAAAAAATAAAGTTATCCTACTATGAATTGTGTTTTTAATACTAAAACTTGGAATTCAGAGTCGACAACGGTGTATAAAAGTGATCTTGAGACAACTACAGTAAAACCTCAAAACACTTCTGGATATTTCAAGTGTATTGCCTGTGTGACGAAAGGACACAAATATATAGAAATATATATAATTCCTCGTATAGTTCGATACTTAATATTCGTATTGTTATGTTTTTTTTTGCCGCTGTTAATTTTTAAAAATTGAGAAATTATGGATTTCTGTGCCTTGACTACTTTTTCTGGCAGGCTAAAGTTTAATAAAGACAATAAACAAGCTTTCGTTGGACCGTACTATTAATGGTGCAGCTGCCTGAAAATATATATTAATGAATAATTTCGACGTTTCGAGGGACTTAAGGCCCTTTAAAGGAAGTTACATCCCTACCATAACGAAAGCTTGTTCATTTGGTTGCCACTACCTGCACTGGCAAGGACAGTTAAATATTTAATAGGCTCCCAGTGAAGAGCTTCATGTTAAAAAATAATTGCTTAAATCCCCTATGAACTGTGCATAAATTAATATGATTGTGTTGTTGAATCACAATAGAGAACATAATCTTTTAAATAAAAGGTCGAAGTTTGCTGTACAGTGTATGCTAGCAAAATGTGCCATTTCTAATATTAACTAGCTGTGATGTAAACAAAGCATAGAGTATATAATATAATGCTAAAATCTACTCACTTCTACATTTTTTATACATATATTCATATTGCCATTTGTTATTTTTAATAATTAACTTCAACTATCATTTATAATTTTTTAGAACTAAGAAAGCAACCCATTACATGATGAAATGCTGTGCCGAGAAATAATAGGGGTGGATGTTTTCAGTGGCACAAAGAAGGGAACATTAAAAAGAAGTGCAAAATGGACACAGGTGGTGGAAAATTTAACGAATGTTGAAGGAGTCCACTTCAAAGTCAATAATCGGGCTGTAAGGGATCGGTACCACCTGCTGTCAACCAACTTAAGGAAGAGAAGGAAAGTGGGATAGCTCCAGAGATGAGTGAGGTCGAGAAAGCGTTGGAGGCACTAATTGAAAAAGAGGATGCTGCTGAAGAGCTTCGTCAAGAGGGAAAATCAAGAAAAGTTGCGATTGAAGCTCCCAGAATGAATGCAGAAGATATAAGGAAGAAAGCCATGGAGAATCTTGGGGAAACACAAAAAAGAAAGAGTGTAGGAATTGGAGTGACACCAGCAAAGAAGAAGAGAAGCAATGGTAGTGATACTGTGAATTACTTGCGGGAAAAGCACGAGAAGATGTTGGAGGTGGAAAAGAATAAGCTGACAATGGAGGAGAAGAGAATGGAGGCGGCAAGTAAGAGACATGACTAACTAATGACGACTCTACAACAACAACAACAACAACAACAAGAAATGGAAACCTTTCAGGTTATGATGATGCAGCAACAGCGACAAATCCAAATGCAGCAGGCACAGCAAAATGAACTGATGCTGAAATTATTTGGTATGTTGAATAATAAATGTTTAGTTTTAATTCTCTGACACTGTAAATCCTCTGTTAGCCCCCCTCCCCCCTCCCCTCTTAGCATCACACTCATCCGTTCACTAATCTATCTAATTGTCAGTGTTGTAACGAGTCACCTACAGGTCGAGTCACGAGTCGAGTCACTCAAAGGTCGAGTCACGAGTCGAGTCGAGTCATTTCAGTTTTTGATCGAGTCGAGTCGAGTCGAGTCAGTGGCTTCACTCGAGTCGAGTCGAATCAGCGGCTTCACTCGAGTCAAGTCGAGTCACTGACTTAAGAAGAGTTGAGTCAATTTCTAGACTTGACTTGAGCTACCCTAGCTTGCAGTCGGAAATTAGTAATCAAATTTGCGTTTTAAACTAATTACTTTAGTCATCTAATAACAGTATCTGGGCAGCTATAGGCTGTGCCAATATCACAGTTCCAGTCAATATTAAGTACAACCACATGAGATGTCTCATCATGCCTGCTGATCGAGTGTACGTACATACAACTAGCAAAACTTGCAACTGGAGTCAGAATTAACAAAGAATAGACTTTAATTAACAACGCTTTGTAAGTTAATTTGAAATTATATAGTCCTTCATAAATACCAAAAATGAAAATAGCCTGTCAGAATTAGTATAAGTACAAAAAATTTTGAGACTCAATTTTAAAAACTGTGGCACTAGCGTTGTTTCTAAAAACAGAAATGTAATATAGGTATGCCCTTCAGGAATATTTTCTATGCAAATCCCATATATTTTCTGATAAAGTTTCAAAGTACTCATTATTTACAGGGCTCATTGTTCTTCCCAAGCAATACAATCACAATAATTGTGATGAATTTACTCTGTACAAGTTGTAGCTGAGTTGACTCGAGTCATTTACGGCAAAATCAGCAAGTCGAGTCCGGTTCGAGTCATTTGGGACTGTTGACTCGAGTCGAGTCGACTCATTTTTCGTATTGGACTCGAGTCGAGTCGCTGAAAATAGCGACTCGAGTTGACTCGAGTCAGAGTCAATGACTCGACTCGTTACAACACTGCTAATTGTGTACTTATTGCCAAAGGTATTTAAGGTGATTTCATTGTGTGCCTGAGCAAAAAAATTGCCCAGGGAAACTTCGAAATTTTTTGGAAGATTTTGGCAATTATTTACTGATTGCAAAAATAGATGAATTACAAGAGTTAAATGCCTCTTACTTAATTATTTTACTTTAGACCACACAATTTTATTTGTCAAGGCATGGAGCAACTGTCAAGGCATAATTAGGGAGTGGGTTTTGATGAGTTAATAACTGGCATGGATGCATTTAATTTCCAGTGCTACCATAACCACTCTAGAGAGAGTTTCTAACAAGGGGCTCATTTCTCTTACAGCTCGAACAGGCAAACTGAGGCAACTTTTCTAATGTTTTCAAAGTAAGCCAAAACCAATCACTACTGGCAGGGTTATTTAGACCAATGGTTATGTCATAAGTTCACCACCAGAAAATGTTTAGTCAAAATAACTCGGTGGCGATTGGTTTTGGTTAGTTTGAAAACATCAAAGGTATGCAAAAGCAGCCTCGGTTGGGCCGTTCAAGCTGTAATATACCCACCCCATTGAAATTATTTGAGGTATGAGTTTAGTACCAGTAATGGATTTGGGAATTGAATTATATCGTATTAATTTTCATTTAGTCAAGTTACTTGTGTTCAATAGCAATGTAATATACAGTAGTTTTCATTTAAAATATGGTAGGTTTATCCCCCTTACTAACAGGCTCTCGCTCTAACAAAGCGGGCCCCCTCCGGCCTCCCCACTGGAATGACTGGAAAAAATAAGGTGCATGCGGGCTAAATGGAGGAAATACAGTAATTTCAAAAATATATCACTCACATCATTGACATTTTAAACCGTATTATAGCTTTAATAAAATGTTCAAAGGATTTATAATGTTATTAACTTACAAAATTGTGAAAAACTGGAAGGACATGTCGTAAAATAAATATTTATTTAATGCCTTTAATCTTTTGTAATAAATTATTTTGTAATATTAAAGTCATTTAAAAGTATTTACATACATTGTAACATTATAAATATTAAATTATTTTGTATTAATTACCGTATATTAAAACTTTTTAAAACAATAAAATCATAAAGTTGTTATAATGCAGTTGTAAGAAATTTTGTCTCCTCAAAGCACCTAAATGCAACCTAACTGTTGTGGTTGCTAAATGTATGATCTGTTGCCAATCGGCTGGTATGCATAAGTGAACTCATAAAGCCAGTTTCATTAGGCAGAATTTTGGGCGCGGAGTGGAATTTTCCTTTGTCTTAGTTCCACCTGAGAAATCACAAGACAAAGAAAAATTCCACTCTGCGCCCAAAATCCTGCCTAATGGAAAACCAGCTTTAAGTTGCAAAGTACCCTATCTTTTAGTAAAACATTGTCTAAGATACATGTAGTTGCCCAAGAGTGCTCGGCAAAAATCAGTAAAAATAGCTTTTTGGGGGTGTCATGATGTTCATAAAAACTGATGATTAACTTTCACATTTGTGCCACCATACAATAAGGTACAGTAATTTGTTCTGTTAATTATCTAAAATATTCTTGCAAAGTTGGTGGCTCTAAATTAAAATAGTAGGAGCTTTGATTCTGATAAAGACAAGTCAGAGCATTTCGCAAAACTGCACATACTACATACATCTTGCCAACTGATGAAAGTACAATTCTTAAATTCTTCTTGAAGTCCACAAACTTGAAGTAATTAATTATGTCCCCAAAAAGCCATTCCACGGATGTTCGCACGGCACTCATGGAAGTATTGAATTCATGCATTTCTGGTGTCATCACAGCTTGTCTATAAGGTGCTTGCAAATGTACTCGAAGAGGATAAGCAGGACCTCCATAGGTGCATAATGGTTGGCCTGTGCCTGAGAAATTATGTTGTTGCAAGCTATCCAGCAGACCAGACTCAACAAGCATTGCTGCATCATGTCTTTTTCCCTCTGCAAATTTATTTGTTGGTTAATAAAGAGATTGACTTAACTACTCATTAACCCATTAAGCTAGCGCTGCAGAGCCTCCCCACTGACTAGTAAAATTGTCTGGCGTTAGACAATAAAAAATAAGTAGGGTCCATTGGGGCTCATAGTGGCTCAGTGGGTTAATGTTGCACTGAATAAGATATGTCGGGCATAGATTAGCTTTAGCATAGGTTTTTTGCTCTGTCCAACATTCTTGCCAAGAGTCCTGTGCACACACTAATGACAACAAATGGATTAAATCATTGTGTCACTGATAGAAAGGGCAGTACCTGCAAACAAGCATTAGACTAAGGATCCCCCCCCCCCACACACACACACCTTTTGGACATTTGTAATACAATTGGCATGGTGAAGTGTGAAAATATTTACTTACCTACAGGACCATACAAATTAGCAATCAAACCATTTGGAATCGCAACCGATTGAAATTTTAATGCATGGACTCTTTTGTGCCCGTTATATACCTGTCTTTGATTGACGTTTGGTCGGCATATTGGTCGCACAGTGCCATCAACAAAACCAAAACAATTGTTCAATGCCGCACCTTTCAAGTGGATGGCTTCTGCATAGCGCTCAAGAGATTCTGGGTTTAAAATGGCATCATTCCACTCTGTAATTCTGTGAGCATTGTTTTCGTAGACGAAGTCTGCCACTGTAGTTGTAATCATGCATACTACGGGGACTGGTCTGCCAAATCTTGGGATCAGATCCCTGTATCGGCAAGGGTAGGCCATTCTTCTCAAAAGCATGCACAATCCCTCCATCCCATCGCAAACAGTTCTTTGCTTACACTTAAACTCTTGTGGAATCCTTAGGGCCTCCGCTAGCTGAGGCAAGTCGCTTTTCTCGAAACGAAGTTCTGCTTTGCACTCGGCTTCATCCATGTCGGTCAACTCAAATCTTTCATAACTTTCGTATGGAAAGACAGGATTTTTCGATGTATTTAAATCATATAACACAAGCAACTCTTCTTCGTCGATCAAACCATCGTCGTAACTGGCTAGTAACATTAATCTAGCATCTCTAAATGAAGCCATTTCTCCTATAAAAGTTTTCTCACTCAAAGCTCCGAAATTTGGTAAAGATAGTCTAAATTTTAGACGCTTATTCGTCATCGAGTAAGCGGCTGAAATTTAGTCTACCATTACGTTCCCGTACCAAAAGCAAACACTTGCTTAAATCTTTGTTTACATTATTTTGCAACGGGAAAATTTTCCCTCGCTCCAGTTTTTTTGCGCCATTTTTGTCACGTCGCCGTCCTAGATTTATCTTTGCTTAAGGTCGCTATTGTGCGTGTACTACAGCGTTTTATGTCAATTGCTGACGTCATTAGTATTTTCTATTTTAGAAAAACAATGCGCTATATCTCTTTATTTTGTGTTGTGACTTATATTCAAATTTTGCATGCTGTATTACACCGCTAAAAACTTTCATTAAACAAAAAATTTAAAAAAAATCTGTAATGCCAAAAACTTTTACGGAGGAATATGTCATTTTCGCATTTTCCAAAAAAATGGCATTACAGAATTTTTTTATATTTTGCTAATTGTTAGCTTTTCGTCCAAGTAAAGTAATGCAAGAAAAAAATTGGGGGTCACCATGCCTCTTTTCCAACTATACGAGACGACAGGCCATTTTGGAGTGAATTTTGTACACGTACTGTATGTCGTCATATCAACGAATTATCTGTTACTAAAACTAATATAATTTGAAAGTAGAGATATCAAAATATATGAAAAACCCAATATCTGCTGAATAAATCCTAAAAATGCGTAGTTTAAACATTTCAAAGTGTTGAACACCTGAATTTTAGAAAACTGTATCGAGCCAC